TGACAGCAAGCAGCAAGGCAGGTGGTGGCTGCACACATCCACACAGAACAGAGGGCTTCTTACCAAACCAAATGGTTAGAAATGGTTTTTAATTAGAACCTAGGCTACACTGCACTGCTGTGGCATGACCATACTGGTTAGGTGCAGTCACCCCCTTTTATCCTCTTACTACCCTGTGTTTTCCTACACTTGTCCCTTCTCAGACCATCCTGATATCTCCCTTCCCCAGCCTTTGGTTCCTCCCTAGGCATCCCATACAAAGTTTTGCACAGAGCCTGTATATTTCTCCCTTGCATCCCATAAGGAGTCTCCTACCTCTCTGCTTACTTGGTGCCACCTCCAGTCCGTGAGATAGGTGGCTGCCCTGTGACAACCCTGAGAGGAACCAGGCTCCTGACTGGTTGCTTGGGGCTGAAAAGATCCTGCTCTGTAGCCCTGTGCTGGAATGCCATGGATGACTTATTCCTCCAGAGGTCTGCGATACAAATACAGCACTGGTGTGCGTGGCATGAGAAAGAGAGAAGTAAACATGCCTAAATCAACCATGAGCCCCAGAAAAGACCTAGAAAACAGTGAAAGTGCTGGGAGACACCAGGGCACAAGGCCACAACACAGACGTGCAGATACAAACTGATACAACTCAGCCCAGACCTCAGCTACTAGTTGTCACGGGTGTACCAAACCTTGGAAACCAAGTGGAAGGGGAGATTTGTATGAGCAGAACCTGATGTCCACCAAGAAAGCTGTCAAACTCAGCAGAATCCCAAGCCCATGTAGAGGGAAAGTCAGTGAAATCTGTGGAGCATGAGGCTGGGGAGAAGGTTGCAAAGGGACACAGTGGTTGTGGGGAATCCAGAATGCAGTCCAACAGAGTGGGGCTTGGTAGACAGCACTAAACTGAAAGCCAGGACCCCAAGTCTATTCTACTTTCATACAAAACTTCTTGGATCCTGCTGCCTGTCAGTGTATAATGGATTGACAACTTAGGTTTTCATGCTTGCAAAAGTTATACTAGTCCAAAGCAATCCAGCTTTGGATGTATCAGGTTGTTTGACAGCATCCTGATCAGACCTGCTGCTCTTCCACTCAAGTCCCATAGAAATGCTTATCTTAGCTCAGATCTCAGGACAGTGTTTTGGAAGGGGTCCTACATCATTTCACATGTAGGTACTGGAGTTTATTTGCTTTTTGCAGGTCACTATCACAGATGATTGTACTGTCAAGCAAGCAAATAGCTGAAACTGGGACATCAGAGAGGATACTTGGTCTTGGCAAATGCAAAGATGGAACTCATAGAACCTCTGGATTTGCTACTAGGAAATATGGGGAGGACTGTCTCAGAGACTGAAAGTCCCATCTCAGTACTTCCCACAGAGTTATACACTCTGAAGGACAGGGAAAGAGTGTCTTTCAAAATAATACCAGGGGCTTTGCGTGAAGTTAGAAGATGGTACACTCAGTAAAACAGAGATGCTTGCTCATGCCTCTTTTCATTAAGATGATTCCACTCGTGTGTCAGCAGAAGTTGGGGAAAAAAAAAAAAAAAAAAAAAAAAAACAGGAGAAATCAGTGGAAGAAAAATTTGTTGAGGCTTCCTCAGGACAAACATATTAGCTTTTCTTTAAGAAGCCTCCAAGCTACAAAAGGATACCCATTGTGTGCATGCTCCAATCTCACGCCTTGTGCCGTTGCCCTGTGTGAGAGGCAGGATGCTGGGAGACCCGTTGTGGCATACCTGACATAAAAGGAGATGCTGGGAGAACTACCTTTAATCTTTATAACAGGACTAAATAGAGACCTTCTTGCTGTGTTCAATACACTGGGTGCAAGCAAGACAGAGCCAGCACGTCCCAGAGGCACAGAGTAACAGGCAACAAAGACGAGTTGCAGTGAGGAAAGTTCAGATCAGATGTCAGGAGAGAAAAGAATGCCCTGTCAGGGAGATCAAACAGTGCAACAGAGACCAGGAGGTGGGCAATCTCCGTCTGTGGAGATCATTACATGTGTGATTTGCGGAATCAAACTCTAACCCATGTAAGGTTAAAAGAGCAGGTACGTCTTTATTTCAGCGCTGCGCCACACACCGGGCGCAAGGGGGATCACACCTCCTAGCTTGCACACCAGAGTGGAGTCTCGCTACATTTATTAGCCAAGCCATACATATTCAGTAGTATTACCCAAGACTCACTGACATATTCATTACTTTTCCGGGAATTCATTTACATACTGTTCCCCCTCCCGAGGGCATGCGCAGTAGCTTCCATTGGATGAAGGCTCCACGTCTTCCTCCCCATTCGGTGGTCGTTTGGGATGAAGTCAGACGTCTCCCTCGCCACTTCTTTCCGACCTTTGTCCCAGTTCTGGGGTCTTCTCATGCCCTGCATGCCTCAGCAATACCCTATTCTGCTTATCTTCCCTTTTTTCATTACTCTCTTAGGGGCCCCTCTTCTACTGTCTGGAGAGGGCTCCATTTTTCGAATATTCCTGGGCTGACAAAAAGGTTAGACTAAGCAATAAATTTCCCTTGAGTTAGCAGAAGGTTAAACTAAGTGATGCTATTTGCGACCTCTTTTGAGTTAGCATAACCAAGCGATGTTATGGACCCCTTACATCTTGTATTCTTCAGCTTACTACCTCATGTGGATGGGACAAGCAGCTGAGCAACTGGTTCAGATCCTGCCTGGACTGGGTGTCTGAACTAGAGATTTCCAGAGGTTCCTTTCGCACCCCATTCACATTGTGGTTCTGCTCCTCTCCCCACTACTGTAGGGAAAACTGGACGGCAAGAGCAGGCTTAGCAGCTGCCAGCTCAAGCGCAATTGGGTGAATCCTGCTGTAGTGTTTGAGCCTTCCCTCAGGCACATGGTGAACGTCTTTTTTTCTGACCTTTCAGGCTCTCAGCTGGTTCTTGTGCATAGTTATCCTGCTGAGACAGAGCTTTCTTTTACAGCACGTCTGTTTGCAGAGTGACAGTGCCTTCTGCTTCTGTCTGCATTTGGAAACTTGCTCTCTCACCATTTTGTTTTTGAAGTCTAAGCCAGTCAGCCACAAGGCTTCAATCCTTGTTAGCGAAGCTTTCGTCCTCTGCCTGCAAATCCAGCGCTGATTCACAGCAAGTCACAGATGTTTTCTCACTCCTCTCACACAACCCTTCCTTTTCCCATCCTGCATACATAAATGCAAGTCCCTCCCTTTCTAAACAACAAGCTTCTTCCTGCTCTCCAATGCAATGTCAACAAGTAAACACCACTGGCATGCAGAAAAAAAACAAAACAAAATATACTCTTGGCCACATGTTCATGTAGAAGAGCTTGTATTGATCTGAGGACAAGCACAGCAGACTTTTGACAAGGTACATAATGGAAATGCAGCAGACTATGGCTGATTGAAAAGATGCTGCATCAAGCAGAAGTGTCATCTTTAGCTTCTGGAAAGTGTTGGGGTTAATTTAATGATCATTTTTATCATCTACCCGCTCTACATTTATATCCACTCAACATCACAGATGTGACAGAATGATGTGGAAAACGTTCAGACAAGACTTTCATTTGCAATCTATTAATATGTTTATTTATGGATGTAGGAGTGTATTTCAAAATGCTTGGCTGGACGGTCTCTGAATTCTGTGCTGGGTCTGTGTGTTGTTAGAGACAGCTGGGCAGGTGGGCAGAAAGAAGGGACCTGTGACTGTGCTGAGTACCCTCTTCCCAAATCCCCTCTGCTCACAAATGCCATGTGAAAGATTGCCACCTTTGCAGGAGCAGAGCATGACTGTCCCATTCTGCACAGAGAAAATGATCCTTCCTCTGTCCTCCATCAGCTGTGCTGGTTCCTGCTTTTTCTACAGTCTGCACCCTCATCGCTTGTAAGAGAAAAGCACTGGGGAGTGGGGGACTAAGTGCTGCTGAGTTCTGCCAGCCCTGTGGCGTGACTCAGCAGTGTCCCTTGCCTGGGGAAGCATATGGAGGTGGTTCCCCTTGCACCATTGCATATCTCCTGTCCATTCCTTTTCTCTCAGCCGTTACTGCTTCTCTTTGCCATCTGGAGCTGTCTGCATCCTTTCATGCCAATGCTGAAGGTAACTGCCGTGCGTGAGGAAGGAGAGACAATAGTGCAAATCTGTCCCTGCTGATCCTAAGCCCAGACCTGCTTCAGCCCTATCAGGTTTGTGTCATGCTCCCTACCTGCTCACTTCAGAGAGTAACGTAAGGCTCTTTGGGAATTATGGTCACTCCCTCTTCACCTTCTGCTCTCTCCATTCCCAGTTGTGTGGACCACCAGCTGTGACCTCTGCTCCTTTCTGCTTGGTCTGCTCTTTTGAAAGGTCATAAGTATGGGTTCAGTGAGTCTGTTCTTATATAGGCCACTGCAGATCTCACATCGTCTTCCTTGTCCCTTGGGTACCTGCTCCAACACCATCATTCCTTCTACAAGGAAGGGCAGCTAGCCCCGGTGTGGATGTGCCATAGAGCCACATAGCAAAATTAAATTTATGCTGGGGAACTCTTATCGTTTCATTTGCTCAGACACACTTGCAGCCTCATCTGAGATGCTGGTGGCAGAGGATACTCTGCCTTTTGTGCTCTGCAGATGGAAGTCACAGAGCAGCGATAACGAACCTCACATTCACTGCTGTGTTGTTTCTAAAATCACAGCCTGCGCGCGAGCGTAATTCATTTCATTAAGCTGCAGCTCCAGAAAGGCTCAAAGGATCTCTCATCCTGGCATAAAGTACTGTTTGCGACAGAAATCCGACAGGCACAAGTGCTCTGGTCCCAGAAGACCTCTCTGAAATTAAATCCTAAATCAATTGGCTGCCTTATTAATGAATCCTCAGACCCATTTCCGCATCCGGTGAGGGAGATTTCAGGAACCAGGGGAGCAATTTCACACTTCTCGTTCATACCACAAAGGTTAAGTTTGGGCTTTGAGTAGAAAATCAAATGACTCGGAGCATGCAGTTAGGGTCTGCTCAGAGCTTATGGTGCTGCTCCAGCAGCTGGGCTGTGAGAGCAGGCTGTCCCCAGCTGTCACCCTTCTGCCATCCCAAAGGGGCTTGTGCAACCTTGGGGCAGGCTGGCCATGAGCCACTTCCCCTGCAGCCCTCGTGATGCCTGCCCCAGCTGGCAGGGGATTTCTCAGCAGAAGCAGCCTGACAGGTTGTCATTACCTCAGGCTGGGGCTCACCTTACTTCTCCCAGCTAAAGGAAAGGGGACAACACAGCTGGGGCTCCACCATGAGCCTTGGAGCTTCAGCCCTGTTGACAGAGGTGAGCGATGAGGCTGAAGGTGAGGAATGAAGGGAAGGGGTGGGGAGAAGGGTGGCTGTGGGGATGGGCATGAGAGCAAGGGTGGTCGTGGGGATGTGGGGGGGTACCCACAGGGACACCGGTCAGGACTCCTGTGGGTATGAGAATGAGGACACGTGCAGGGATGGGGTGAGGACACCCTTGGAGATAGCGGTGAGGATGCTTACGAGCACAGGGGTGAGGATGGCTGTGGGGATGAGGTGAGGACAGCCATGGAGGCAACCGTGAGGGCAGCCGCGGGCATGGAGCGATGACCCTTGAGGGGATGAGGTAGGGACAGCACGGGGGCAGCGCTCGGAACAGCCGTGGGAACAGGGCTGAGGCCGCCGTCGGGCCGCGTTACGGACACCCGCGGGCACGGGGCCGAGGACACTCACGGCAGCGGCAGGCGCGGGCACGCCGGAGCCCCGCGGAGTAGGCCCTGCCCGGCCGCGCAGCCGGCCCCGGCCCCGGGCGGAGTCGCCGCGCCGTTTCGCTTTCGGAACGGGGCGACGGGGCGGGCCCGGCGGCACGGAAGCGCGGCGCCGAGCGCCCGCGGGGCCTTCCCCGGGCGGCGGGGCCGACGGCAGGTGAGTCGGGGGGCCGTCCCCGGGCCCGAGGGGGAGACGTCCGAGCGGCCCCGGGGACGAGTCGGAAGAGCTCGGGGCCCGCGGCCGGGCGAGCCCCGGTGAGCGCCTCCGCCTCTCCGCAGGGCCCGCGGGCTCCCGGGGAGCCGGAGCCCGGCGCTGCCTCCCGAGGACGGCGGCTCCCCGTTGGCGACCATGGCGGCCCGCGGCCGCCTCCGCCGCCACCAGGTGAGAGCCCCGCACCGCGGCGCGGCGCGGCCCGGCCAGGGGCGGCCGCCGAGGGAGCGGGGAGAGCGGGCGGCTCGGGCTCCGCCACGCTGCCCGGGGCCTGGGCGGGCCGGGGGCTCCTCGCGATCCCCGGCCGCCGCTTTCTTCTCCGCAGGTGCTTGGCGGGACCGGGAGCCGCCGGCTGAGGGCGGCCGGGGCGAGCGAGGCACGGCGGCCGGAGCGCCGGTAGAGCGATGCAGACAGGTGAGCCGGGGCGGGCTGCTTGGCTCTCGTGGTGCTCGTCCGGCTCTCGCTGCTCGGCGGCTCTCGGCGGGCCGTGCGGGAGGCGAGCCTGGCGCGTCGGCGGCGGTGATGCGCGGAAGGAGCAGGAGCGACCCGACCCGAGCGGGGATGTGTGTGCTCGTGCCGATGTACTCCAGTGCTGTGGTCAGTGTTGGTCACCTCACTGCCAGAAGGACATCGAGGACCTGCGGAGTGTACAGGGAAGGGCGACGAAGCTGTGAGGGGTCTGAAGCACAAGTGTTATGGGGAGCTGGGATGGGTCACTGTGGAGGAGGCTCGGGGGAGACCTCATTGCTCTCTGTAACTCCCTGAAGGGAGGTTGTGGTGAGGTGGGGGTTGGCCTCTGCTCCCAAGTGAGAGGATGAGAGGTGATGGCCACCAGGGGAGGTTCAGGTTGGATATTAGGAAAAACATATTCTCTGAAAGAGCAGTGGTGCATTGGAACAGGCCGCCCGGGGAGGTGGTGGGGTCACCATCCCTGGAGGTGCTCAAGAGCCATGGAGATGTATTACTTAGGGACGTGGTTCAGTGGGAGATATTGGTGGTAGGTGGATGGTTGGACCAGATGATCTTCGAGGTCTTTTCCAACCTGCATGGTTCTATGATTTTGTGACCCGTTCAGTGCCACCCCAGCAGTGTCCATCTCCTTGCTTGTGTTGCAAACCCACGCCTGTTTCCCAACAGCCATTGTGATCACCGAGCAGCCGGTCTCTGTCTCCGTTCCTGTTGGGTACTCCTTCGCTCTGCACTGCAGAGCCGAGGCCCACACCTCACTGCAGTACCAGTGGTTTTGTCAGTGCCAGGTAATGTTGTGAGCAAGGGTGACTTTCCTCATTGCATTGGGCCAGCTCCATGCCCTGCAGTGAGGTGAGTTGGCCCACTGTTAGCAGTGCAGGTGGGCAGCGGGAGGCTGGAAGAGAATAGAGGAGATGTGGTATACAGATGTGCTTGCCAAGGGTTTCCACTGGTTCTTTCTCCCCATATCCTTGTGAGGAGGTGACACAACCAGGGATTCCAGCTTGTCCTGCCTTTAAAGGGGCTTGCTGGTGCCTTCTGCTACCAGCAGTGATGGGGGAACTTGCTGCCTACTGCCTGTGTTTTCTCTGTAGTCTGTCCGCTACCAGATTCCTGGTGCCACCAAGCAAGACTTGCCCATCACTGCACAGCAGACCCAACTCTACACTTGCAGAATTAACGACCTCTACAGAAATGTGATCTTCTCTGACTGGGTGAAGGTGGAGGTTCATCCACGCATTGCCAGAGGTACAAACATGTCTTCTAGCTTTGCTCTGTTCTCTGCTTTGCACAGACATTGCTGGATATCACAGCAGTGGTCCTTTGTGGTTTCTGGGGCATTGTGTCCTCCGAGCTCAAGTCATTATATAGGAGAACTGCTCCAGTGATGTGGATCTAAGCAAAATCACGGTGACTGTGCTCCAGGTATTTCAGGTCCCTGTCATGATCCTGGTAACCCCAGCTTGTATTTACCCTCTTGCCCTGCTGACCACTCACCATGGGTTTACTAGAGGGAAGTTATACTGGGTGTTTGCTGCTAGGTGTTTGCATAGGGCAGAGGGACTGGATGAGGCAGTCTGGCTATTTCAAAGCTGGGCAAAGTAACTTAGGGTGTGCCTGACCTCAGCGTGTTGGCTGCACCCTTAGCAGGAAAGAGTGAGCATCGACAGGAGTCGAGGCACCTTTGGGACCGGGAAGCAAGAGGCAGTGCTTTGTTGTGTCATATGCTGTCATGTATTGCTCTCAAGGATTCTCTGCTCCTGGGGCAGAAAGATGTATTGGTGACACTGTGAGCACAGCCATCCTGTGGAATGGCATCTCCTGGTGTGGGTGGAAAAAGTTTACTTCTCTGTCAAAGCACATGGACTGCACAGAAAAAAAACAAATATTGTTTTCTGTCCTCACGAAGGGAGTACTAATTCCTTGCCTCTGCTTCACAGGACTGCTCCCTCAGCTCTGGCAAGGAGAACCAGTCGTCATCCTCAACCCTACTGAGCAGAAGGTGGAAGTTGGGAAACCACTACAGCTGCAGTGTGCTGCCGTTGGGGTCCCAGCCCCCAGCTACCAGTGGTACCGAAACGGGAACCTGCTGGAACACCAGAAGAAAAAAAAACTCTGGGTAACATTACCTCGGGATGGTTCAGAAACTTTGGCTACTGAGGTGGGTGATGAGAGAAGCCCAATGGGATGGTGTGCATGGGAGAGCTTCAGAAGCCTTGGACAGACTGCTGAAAATTTTATGCTGTTGTCATCCTCAATATGAGGATGACACAGTCCTTCAGTCTAGCTCTTATCTGTGTGCAGAGGCTCAGGAATGCTTTGATCTGCATGATCAGGTGAATGCCAGCAGAAAGCTGTCTCTCCTTGCCTGTCTTCCCCTCTCTTCAGCCCTGGAGGAAGAGCATTGTGCTCAGACATTTCCCTGCACTGCACAGATCCCCCCTGTTGCTTTGATAGCCCTGACTGAAGAACTGGGGTTGAAGAGGGAATACATTTTATGGGCTTCTTTAAAAGCTGTGGATGTTTCTCTAGGAAATAAGAGATTCACAGATGTGCCAGCATTAAGGGCTCTCAGCAGGCCTCTCATACCTTCTTGTAGCAGCACAAGAAGAACTATTGTATAAATGTGCAAGGTGTTGTGGAGTGATGAAGCTGTGGGAATGGTGTGTGCCTGCAGGAAAGCTAGAAGGAAAAGCAGTTATTCACAGCAGGAGAGAGTCATGGAGTCAGCAAAAGGTCTGATTTTATGGTGGTTCATTGGCTGAGTGCAAGTCAGCACTGTCTTCTTGTTGCAAGAAAGGCAGATTTCTTCCTGGGATATCACTTGAAGGGCAATAAGGGCAAGAGAGCCAAGCTCTTCTCAGATAGTGTTATGAGGGACCATGGTCTCAAACAGCTCTTTTCCCAGCCTGATGACTAGGAAAAGGTTCTTCCTTTGCGGGTGGATGGTGCAGCTGTGGAGTATGTACCCAGAGAGGCAGTGAGATCTCTGTTATCAGAGATTTTCAAGACTTGTCTTGACAGCTGCAGCTGACTTGACACAGTTGTGGCTTTAGTTCCTCTCTGAGTAGGAGTCTGGGCTGGAGAACCACAGAAGTTTTTGCAAGCCAGCACTGCTGGGGTTCTTAAGCTCCTTCAGGAGGGTTGGATACAGGTGGGAAACATACTACATGATAGAAATCTAGAAAATGTCATCCAGGAGGAAAATTGGGAACCTTCTGATGTTGGCCACGTGCTGTCCTGCTTGTGTAGCTTCTAGGGCAGAGTATGGCTGTGACACAGTTTCAGGGCTGGTGGATAAAGAAAGGAGAGCATTTGGGCAGAGCACTTTTGCTCTTTAGAAGAAGGCTGTCACCATAAATAATGTAATTTAACTTTTGATCTGTCTAGATCAGCCACACCAAAGTCAGCGACTCTGGCACGTATCTCTGCTGTGCTTCCAACAGCCATGGAGAGCACTGGACCAACGCAGTGGACATTCACATAGGTGAGCAGAGCTAAACCACGTTTGCTTTGCAGCAAATCATCTTCTGGTGTGAAAGAGAATTAGACAATTTTAGTGAACTTGCATGGAGATACCAAGCTGGTAGATGAAGTGCTGAGAGGTTATCCTAGGGCTCAGTTTGTGAAGGGGAAACTGGGCTCAGGGTTGTGGGATTGGAAGAGCTAGAACGCATAGCCCTCCCCAGCTTGAACAGACTTAGTAACAAGAAAAAAAGAAAGCCATTGCTTTTAAGGACTGCTTCTGCAGGGAGCCGAATGTGAGAGTGGAGCAGAGCTCTAAGAGATGCAGGAGTGTCCTGGCAGTTCTACAGCAGCTGTCGTGGGAACAGCTTTCAGAGCACTAATTCACACCCTGGATATACTGGATGATCTCAGCAGAGCTGCACGTGTACCCCTGAGCTGGGGACGCAGGCATCAGGCAGCACCATGATAAATGTGATTCCTTGATATCAGAGTTCGAAAATAGTGAGGGAAGCGGCATCTGCAAAAGGAAAAAAAACCCAGCAGTCTGCCCACCAGACTGTGGTGCAGCTTGGAGTGCTACTGTGTCCTGCAGTCTGTAGGAAACCTGCTGCATTAGGCTGTGCTCTCAGATGCTCATTGCAGCCTTTCTTGCCCTGTCAAGTTACTGATTTAATAGATTCCCCAACAAGATGTAGCAGGGTCCTTCATTAAGGTGAATTTACAGCCTCACCGAGTTGAAGTGATGTGGTCAGATGCTCAGATGTATCGTGCTGGAGAGGATGGTGTTTATTTTGGGAGGTTCAGGTCCATCGGGCTGGCAGCCCAGGGCTGATGCTGCGTGTGCTGTGCAACCTGATGGATCCTGGGGAGAAGATGGATCCCGGGAGCCTTGGGCATGCTCTGTCTCTGATGTGACAGCTACTTTGGCTGTGTGCCTTTGCAGTGCTGTGAGACAAGTGTAGCTTTGTGGACTCTTTACTCCACCTAGAGAATTTTCTATGCCATAAGCTTTTCATCTAATGTTTTTCACTGGCATTAAAATCTCTCCAGGGTGCAAATTGGATCTCTATAATCTGAGAGCCCTGTGTACTCTCCTTGCCTCATTGCAACTTGCAAAGCAGTGCCTGGGAGTAACAGACAGCATGAACAGACTGGGTTGGTTTCCAAATGTTATGGCTGGATAGCTTTAAAATGAGACAAGCAGCTCTGTCAGAGGCAGGAAAAGCACAAACAGGTTTGTTCTGGTGGCTTTCCAGGCATTCCTGGAGCTGCAGCACCTAGATTGTCACAAATGGGGCCGGATGGGATCCACCTGAGGGTGCTGAAGGAGCTGTTGGAAGTGCTCATAAAGCTGCTTTGGACTGTCTCTCAGCAATCCTGGTCAACGGGGGAGCTCCCAGGAGACAGGATATGCCAGTGTGACTCCCATCTACTAAATGGGTTGGAAAGAGGATTTGGGAAATTCTAGGCCTGTCAGCCTAACCTCAGTCTGGGGGAGGTCATGGAGCAGATCATATTGAACGTGATCACTCAGCATGTGTGGGACTGAATGCAAGTGTGGTCATCCAAATTGGGAGAAAGTGTCGATGGGTGTGAGGGCAGGAAGGCCCTACAGAGGGATCTGGACAAACTGCATTGAGGGTCTGAGGCCAATGGGATGAAATTTAACAAGACCACGTACCAGATCCTGCACTTTGGTCACAAGCCCGTGCATTGCTACAGGCTTGGGGCAGAGTGGCTGGCAAGCTGTGCAGAGAAAAAGGATCTGGGGGTGTTAGTCAAGAGCCATGTGGACATGTGCCAGTGGAGTGCCCAGGTGGGCAAGAAGGCAAATGGCATCTTGGCTTGTATCAGAAATAGCACAGCCCAAGGAACAGGGAGGTGATTATCCCTCTGCATTTGGCACTGGTGAGGCTGTGTCTCCAGTGTTCATATTTGGGCACCTTACTGCCAGAAAGACATCGAGGTCCTGAAGCGTGTCCAGAGGAGGGCAGTGGAACAGGTGTCTGGAGAGGAGGCTCAGGGGAGACCTTATCACTCCCTACAACAGCCTGAGAGGAGGTTGTGGCAAGGTGGGGATCAGCCTCTTTTCCTGGGTAACAGTGATAGGATGAGAGGTAATAGCATTAAATTACAGCAGGGAAGGCTCACGTTGGGTATTGGGAAATATTTCTTCTCTGAACATGCTGCCCAGGGAAGTGATGGAGTCACCATCCCTGGAGGTGTTCAGGAACTGTGGAGATGTGGCACTGAGGGACTTGGTTTAGTGGCCGTGGTGTTGATGGTCTTTTCCAACCTTATTTCTAATTTCTTATTTCAACCATAATTCTATGATTCTTTAATTAGCAGTACAGTCATTACTGTGTATTCAGATGCTAAAGGTCTTCCAGACCTGTAAGATTTACACAATTAAAATGTGTCCTTACTCTTTTTTTCATATGAAGCCTGTAGAGTTTCAGGCTTTTCAGTGGGCTGGATTGGTTTTTATAATAGGAAAATCTATATCTGTCGTGGTAATGATGATTTTCAGGGGCTTCATGCTGGGAATGCTCAGGGGTGGGATTCCTGCATGGATGCCCTGCTACTCTTCAGCAGGGCAGCTAATGGACTTCACGGATGTGAACTCCATGTTTGGGGTGGCCTTCCTGAGCTGGAATTCAGGAGAAAGCAACCTAGGGTGTTGTAGGTGCTGGGAATATTATCACCACCAAGAGCAAACAGTCGGCTTCCTTCCTGCTCAAGGGAGTAGCTCTCTATTTTTAAGCTTATGTTGACTGAATTTCTTTGTGGAATCATTCTGTTTCCCCTGCCTGCCCTTTCTCCCAGCTCTGTTTCCCAGCTGCTTGCACATAGTCACTCTTCTCTCCAGCATGCCCTGACCTTCATCCCCAACCACTTGCTGTTCCCCTTTGCTGCCAAAATGGGATTTCAGATAAATCCCACGCAAATAGACTCCTCAAATGAGCAGACTGTAGGGTTAACAAGGAAGTGGCAAAAAACGTGCTTGAGGAGCAGTCTGTTTTACTTCTGCAGTTGCAGCAGGGATGCAGATGCACTGTGTGATCCAGCTTTGCATTGCCAGGGGCCATGGAAACAGGTTCCAGACCTGCCATGGGAGCTGGCGCAGGGATGCTGCATGCTGGGCACAGACTTATCTTCCCCTCTTTCTTTTCCAGACACCTGTCACTCTGGGAAGTTATTTGGTGAGTACTGTCTTTTCTTGAGAAATTATTCCCTTAATTAAAAGTCAAGCTCCAGAGTAGATAGGAGGGGAAGGCGTTGATGTGTTTTTCCTGCCCAGGCCATTTCAAGCTTTTATGACAATGCTGCTGCCACAGGCTCTTTGCTTTCTGGATCGGATCTGTAGGGCACAGGATGAGTCTTGTCCCCTGTCAAGACCTCGTTTGTCTCACCATGTGGAGAAAGATTATTCCTAATGAGTAACCCAACCTCGGCCTCCACACCTGCCAAATGACAATGAAGTCTGCTTTGCACAACACCTTTTCCTTCTTTGAAATACCTCCTTGGACTAGAGCAAAGCTCCTTGCTCCCACAGCTGCTGAAACCCATGAATCTGATTTTCCCACAGGGATATCTGGGGGTTAAAATGAAAGCAGGAGATGGAGTTTCTTTCCTTTCTCCCTTGGGGAAAGTTACTTCTGAAGATAGCTCAGAGCTTTCCCCTCCCAGGCACCACCAGTATGTGAGACAGACATGACAGGACCTGTGCCAGAAATCCTCAGTAGCACTGATCCTCCGCTGCTCCTGGAGTTTTGCTTCCCAAGTGGAAACTTTTCAGGTTTTTCTTTCAAAATTATGCCTTGTGCGTTTTATTCAAGTGTTGAAAAAGCTGAGGGCTTTCTGGAGGGCACTGCAGGCTTGTGACATGTCTAACCTTCCTTCCTAAAAGTGAGAAAGGATTTCCCCTGTCCTCGTACCAACCAAAGGAAGTTAGACCTTGCTACCTGCTGAGCACTTACAACTTTGTCACTTGTTTCTGTTAGCTACAGGCAAGCTAGCCCTTTTAGTGGGCAACAACCATTACCAGCATCATCCAAACCTGATGGCTCCCATCACGGATGTGTTTGAGCTGAGTCTTCTTCTGAAGCAGCTGGGCTTCCAAGTTGTCTCTCTCCTGGACCTAAACAAGGCTGAGATGGTGGCAGCAGTCAGTCGGTTCCTACAGCTCCTGGAGAAAGGAGTCTATGGTAAGGCAGCAGTTTACATACAGGTGGCAGCAGTCAGAGAAAGGGAGGAGCAGAGATTTGGCAATTTCCCTAACAGCTATTGTATTAAAATAACAATAATAAATAAATTAGGGGCTCTGCTAACCCACTTTTCTTCATGTGGGTTAGGGTATCCCTGCAGCACAGTCTGTAGTGGTGCCAGGCTTGGCAGAAATCCCAGGTAAACACCATTCAATTTGGGCCAGGTTACATGCAGGCAAAATAGGTTTTTCTCCATCATGTGGCTAACCTCTGACTCGATTAGCATGGTTTTGTGCTTGGGTTTTGAGACGCCAGTGCTTCTGATGGTGGGTGGGAAAGGGTGTTTACATTTTTTCTTAGATGACAGAATTTAGGAGGTTGGTTGTGGATTGCCCCACACACTCCTTTGTCGGGACAGAAGCTCCTTTTGATCTCTGATTGGCTGCAGTTGGCCAAAATTTCCTTATTTCTCAGTCCTGATGACAGGTTTTTTGCAGAAGCACATATTCCCAGCTGCAGACAGGTGGCTTTTGTGGTTTAACTTCCTGGGGAAGTGTTCCGCAAACACAAAACCAAAGAGCCGATCTTGTGGGTCTTAAAGCAGGTGTTCAGATTTTCATGGTGAAAGTAGCTTCCTTGGGATTTCTGAGATTCTTCCAGCATGATGGATACTCCAAAAACACCTGGCAGATGTTTGCTGAGTTTTGGTAGGCTTTTTTTTATGCTTTGAAACATCACATGAGGCACAACCTGCTTTGAGCAGTGCTTATCTTCAGCACCCTCTCAGCTCACTGGTGTACCAAGGGATTGAAGCAGCAAAAGTCAGCATAGGGCCAATTTCAGTGCTTGCTGTGAGGTTAGGAGTTGTGTAATGGATAGAGATGAGGCCCCGAGTGAAACACTGCAAAGCTCCTTCATTCCCAGAGGCACTGACTCACCCAGGGAGGCTGAGTTGGCAGGGAAAGGCAGCAGGCAGAGGTTGCTGCTCCAGCCCTATGTCATCTGACAGCAGCGTAGTCCTGTGACTTCACTTGCAGATTCCTTTTCTGGTTGCTCTCTGAAATCCCCTTGTGTCTCAGGTTTTGTCTCCTCTCCTGAGCCAGAGTATTCCCTGGGGAGATGCTGTGCTTTTTCCACGTCTGTGTAAGGCACTGCCGCTCCTGCCTTGTATGTGTAGTGCCTGAAGACCAAATGGGGTTTTTTTCCCTGGTAATTCCCCTGTTTTCATAAGCAGTGGAGAGGAAAAAGATTGGGAAATGGGAAACCATTCATGCTGTCATGCCTTATTTAAACTTCCAGTACTTTTCTGCTTTTGTGGCCATTGATCCTTCCTGGCAAAATTGATTATGTGCACTGGCAAGGAAAACATAAACAGCTGAGCTACTGAACCCTGATAAGCCTCAAGTGTTTGCTTGGCATAGCCTGCCTCAAATAGTGGTTTTCTTTACAGCTTTCTAAGCTGAGCAGTCTGTTATTTGGAGGCAGTGAACCTTGGCATGGGCCAGTCCCCACACTGTGATCAAGTGGAAGATGTTTGCTGTAATTGGGTGGCATCCAGACTTAGGGCAGAGTGTTGGGTCTGTCTGCCTACTGATTGTCCCAGGTCTTCTGAATGATGCTGCCTTTTACTGATCCATCTTCTTGCATTTTTTCACTTGTTTTCTTTGCATAAGATTGAAAGAAATAGGTGAAGCACACATCCTTGAAATTAACTTGTCTTTTTATTAGAAATACATGTTTAGAGGAAGCCAGCAACTCCTTCTAAACACTGTATATCACTTTTTTTCAAGGCAGTAGCTCCTGGATAAACACCTAAAGCTGACTGAGAGAGACAGTTTTGACACAGCTCACACAGATGATGGTGAGACAGCAGCATGTTGCCCCATGTCTTATGGCCTTTGCTGATGAAGAGAGTTGGGCTTTGTTGTCTCATTAATTGCCTAATTGCCCTTCCAGCAGCTGTAGGCTGTTATTAGACCCCGTCCCCCTTCACCTCCACATCACCTGCCTAGCCCAGCCCCTTCTTCCAGGCCCTGGAGCCCAATAACTGAATAGTTTCTACTGGCCTTTTTCTTGCTTCTTGAACTGAAGTCCATAAAACTGGACGTAGGACATAAGTGGGGTCTCCTTAGGGTCAGTGGTGGTGCTGACAACTTCCCTTCCTCTGCCAGTCCCTAAGGTGTCTCTTAAGGTAGCTCTGTTCCCAGGTGCTGGCTCATCTTTAGGGGGTTGCTGCTGTGTTTTCCTTACCTCTAGCATCACTGTTCAACCAGAGCTAAACCCCAGAAAAATGTTGCCTGGTGTTAACCTGTCTGAGTGCAGGACTTCGTGCTTTTTGTTATTCAACCTCATCACAGGTTACTCAAGCCCAGAGCAAAAAAAACAAGGTTTATTTTCAGGCAGAATGGTATTGCGTGCCTGGATGTTTGAGGTGATCCAAGGGCTTCTGTGATTTACTGCAGTGGCTCATCTGTTTTTTCTCCAGCTCTCTTCTTACAAAAGGTACAGTGCATTTTGAAGGACCCAAACATCCCCTGAATAATCTAATTATACAGCCCTCAGACAAACAAGAAATCTCCCCAGCTGTTATTTCAAGTGTCCTAAAAAGTCCCGAGTCAAAAATGTCGGAAATGCAACAAAAGCAAAAGCTTACAAGGGAAACAGGAGGAACATGCTGTCATGGGTTAATTAAGCTGCATGTTGACATTTCCTGTGTTATAAGCAGTGCCTGGAGCTTCCCCTTTTTAATTTGGTACTCGGAAGCTTGTCTCTGATCAGCAGTTTTTGACTCATAAGATGTGGGCAGAGTGTTGAAATGTAACTCGGAAAAAAAAATAACAAAATGCCTTTTCCCCTCTGGGCAAAATGTTGACATTCCTGTTCAGGAAGAGCAATTCAGTCCAGAAGAGATTTGCAGTGAAGTTGTTCAGCTCATGTGAAGTTCCTGTCTTTCTGTTTGAACTCCAGTCACTGGGCTTAAATAGCGCAGGGAGCATTCAAAGGTGCAAAGCAAGGCCTCCAAAGTTAGGAGATTTGATAACTTTATGATTCTCTGTGGGTTTTTCTGTCACACTTCAGTTCTTTCCAAGTGTCATTGATGTTGTTAGGCATATGATGTCATCAACTCCATTATAAGTACAGAAATGGTGTCAGAGAGACAAAAGCCAGAAATGCTTGACTACTTTAGGGTCCAAACTTGAAAGAGCTTATCTGATTTTTCCACAGTTCTTCCCATGTTATACTCTTATATTTTCAGAGCTTTTGTGGCTTTGATTTGCTAGTTATGAAAGTTTTAAACTTGTGCAAATCTGAGCCCTCTGTTTCTGGCTGTTGATCCCTAAGAAGAGGAACCCAAACCTCGTGGGCACCCGTGAAAACAGCCATTTGAGTAACTTTCCATTGTCCCCTGAGAACGGAAACTGAAGATGACTTTAGGCCTCATTTACTATGAGGTCATGGTTTCACTCCATGGCATGAGGTCATGCTTTCAGTCCTTCAGATCCTGTCCCATTCACTGCATCCCTTCCAGCAGCAGAGATCAAAGTGAGTTTCTTGCAAACTGCAGGGCCAGGAAGAGTGAAGAAAATAAAGGAGAGATTATTCAGTGAAGCATGGGCTTTGGCAGTGAATCTGACTTAAGAATTTCTTCTACTTTTGCCTTATAGCCTTTTGTTCTCATTTCTGACCTCTCATTCTTCTCTATACCTTAATTGCGGTAGTGCAACTGCTTGCATCACCTCACAGAGCTATTTTTAACAGATTTCAGTTCCTCAAGTTGTCTTTCAGCAGCATTCCCCAAGCAGTTCTGTCAGTGCTGGGAAACCAACTCACAGCTTGTTTTTGGAAAGCTACAGCCCACCTAGGGATTCTCGTGCGGAAGGAGAGCCCTTCACTGAACATGTGTGTAGGGTTGGAGAAGCACTAGCTTTGCCGTGCTCGTCTGTGCTGGCTTTCCAGCATGGATGTTCCCATGTTGCTGTCTCTTGTAAAGTTAGAAACCACTGTTACGTTTCTTGTGCTCCTAAACCAAATTGACGTTGGACTTGCCACCGACACCTGGATGAATCTGTCTCTTCTCCCCTCTTACAGGACTGGTATCTGTTTGGAGGTTTTGAAGCACAAGGTCCACATGTTCTGGACATCTCTCATCTCTCTCTGTTTTTCTCAGTCTCATTTTTCACTGTCTCATAGATGTATAAATACTAGCAGACCTTTGAAATCCAAAGAGTATTTCCCATCATCTGAGCCTCCGTGAGTCTGTCCTGAACTAGGTAGCTGAGAAGCTTCTTCTTTAAAAGGTTATTAAAGTATTGTTGGTCAGGGTGAAATGCTTTGTCTATTGTCATGTTCTTGCAAAGAGATTTTATTTTTGCCAAATACTTGTTCAAAGGTGATATTCAGCCTGGCAGATGCCAAGCCTGGATGTTGTTGCACAAATGATTACGGGTTAGCGAATGTATAAACCTTGGTGACTTTGGTGTCTCTTAAAGAGCTGCTGGAAACCACAAATACAAGAGAGCCTCTCAGGGCTGCTCCACTGAAGGGCATGGATTTGAAGAAAGTCAGGTCTTTGAGGTCAGGGTAGCTCAACTTGTCTGCCTGGAAGTGCTCCTAGTGTAAGTGTCCCAAGCCAGTCCCCCTACAGGGCAGGAGGTGGGAGATGGCTGTGGAGAGCTGGCTGCAGACCTGCAAGCTTGCATCATGACTCATCTTCTCCTCTCCATGTTCCCAGCTATATTCTACTATGCCGGGCACGGGTATGAACACCTGGGGAGGAACTACATGGTCCCTGTTGATGCTCCACAACTGTACGCCCCTGAGAACTGCATCAGCGTGCAGAGGATCCTTCAGAAGATGCAGCAGCAGCAGACAGCCCTGAACCTGATCCTGCTGGACACCTGCAGGAAATGGTAGGGTGCTCTTTCCTCTTCCTCACCGGGACAGGTAGTGCATGGCATTTCAGGGGGTTGGGGAAACAGCTGCCAGCTTCATCCTCCCTTCAGCAATGGGTTCCTGCACAGCTACGTGAGACGTTCTTATGGATTTTCAAGAGCACGTCCTCTGTTGCACTGGCAAGGTCTCTGTGAAAGGTTATACGTCTGTGTCATGAAATCAGCAAGGCTGTTAGGTTTTGCAGGATGTCCTGGGAAGCCCAGTTGGTCACGTGTTAGATACAGCGTAGTAAGCATCAGATCCTGCCTGAGATGTGCTAGGGAGAAGGGAGATGAAAAAGCCTGCCAAATGCAGGCTATTTGAGCAGGTCGCCTGGAGTGTTGTCTGTGTTTTTGTTTCCATCTCAGTGAGAAGAGTGCAACACGACAGGAAAAATATTTCAAGTTACGCTACTTGGTTTTAGTTCTCTAAAGGCTTCTGAAGTTACACTGTGAAGTGGGACCAAGGCTGCTGCTGAGGGCAGGATCAGCTGTTCCTCTCTCAGTGTGGAAAGCCCATCATTCTCCCTTGACCTGCAGATTTCCATCCTGCAAGCTTGTGAGCTGCAGAAAATTACTAGTTGCCCAGTTTCAGTAGATGCAGTTAGGCTTATCCAGTAGAAGTTGTCACTGTTTCATTTATTTGGGGCTCCTGAGAGGGGCTTCCTATCCTCCTTACAGGACAGGAAGAATCTGGAAGCTGAAGGAAGAAAATTTTCCCTCTTCTTTCTGTGGTTCTGCACTGAGCAATGGAAGGACAACTTTTGATACCGCTGCCTTGAAAGAACTGTCAGGCCCATCAAAGACTCTTCGGTATCTTTTAGCTGCAGAGGTGGGAACACTAGCTTTGAATAGCTTACAAGCTATTCTAAGTTGCACTGAGAGTCACCCTGCCTTCTGCAGCTCTGAACTGTCAACAGTGATGGAGCTTGCTGTCCTTTGATACCTGCCCCAAATGCCTCATAGCAAAACATCACTGTGCAGCTCACTGCTGCTGCATGGAGGAGAGAGCTTTGGTTCCCTGTCCCAAGGCTGCTGAGAGCCCTTGCTGAGCAGAGCTGCTGAATCATCAGCACGGCTCCTGCCCGATCTGGTGGCAGAGGTTAGCCCAGGAACTTGTCCAGATGTCAAATGTTGCACCTGAAAATAGCAGGGCAGAATGTGATGGGGAGGCAGCTTTGCTACATGGAGGCTCCCTGGGAATTCTAACGTGAACAGCAACAATGTATGAAATGGTTTGGAGCTGATACCTCCTTCCTTGATGTTGCTGGCCATTTATCTGCTCAGTGAATTTTACTGCACTTTGGGAGCAGGGTGTGATGTGAGAACTGCTCTGATGTTATGTGGCTGTTCTTCTCTCTTCCTCCCCCAGTCTCACACTTTTTCCCTCCCCTTTCCCATAGCAAGCACAGCACTTGGTGCAGTAGGTGTAATCACTGGGCACGCAGCGGATGGCTGTGGAAGCTCCCTCCTTGGGCTTGTTTTTCTCAAGAAGTCACTGCTTCAGCTCAGCAAAGCCTTTGGATTTCATAGTTGTGTGTGTTCACAACACCCAGTAAAACAGGACTCCTGGGGCCTCCTTTCCTAATGCCCTTTTTGTTAAATTGCTGTTGTGAATTGCAGATGGCTGTTGCTTTTCCATGGCTTGCCCAGCCGTGCATGGACCAGGAGGAGCAGTGTGTGCTGAGGAGGATTTCACACCAAGTATCTCTTCGCCCCATATGTTGGCATCAGAAATACTAAGGAGATGAGAAAGGCCTGGCTCCTTTGCCAAGTGGTAGCAGATGTTCAGCTTCAGCACAGGAGGAATCAGGGACATGGAGCTCGCGTGTCACCCAGTAATTCATGTGCTGATTTTGGGAGGATGCGATTGCCTCTTCCAGGAATTTCTGATTTATGAGGGCTTCTGGTAGTGCTGCTTAGGGCAGGAAAAGGACACCATCTTCTGTCTGGGATGTAGATGAGAACTGAATTGCATTAATTCAGTCTGAATGGAGTATGAGTGAACTTTTACTGGAGCTTTGCCACGCTCTCTGATACCAGACATCTCCCTGCCTTTGGTCATGGTCTGGAAACGCCCTGCTGAACTTTGTCTTCTTCTAGGGCAGGGACTGCGGCCAGTATTTTCACTGCACGCATGATGGCTTTACTGGTGCCATCACAAAAGGTTTGCACCAGCCTCTGTCTGTGCAGCCTCAGATCACTGTTTCTGGCATGCAGACAACAGTACCTCAGCTTATTTGGGGATCTGAGCTCTCATTTCTTCTTGGACCTGGAATCCCAGATTTCTATGTTCATTTAGGAACATCTAAGGGGCAGATAAATCTCTCTGTTAACTGTTCATATTTAGATGCATGTCTCCTTTCCAACATTTTCTCTTCTCATGATCTTTAGAAAATTTACACAAGCCAGATTAATGCTGCCGTTAAATATCTTCTCCAGACTGTCGCACCAGTAGTAGGTAACTTTCTGGGTGCTGGCAATGCAGTGATCCCTTCTGCTTTTCTTAGTGTGCCAACTTCAGTTCCAGCAAGCTATTCTAGAATTGAATAGCACTGAGTAACACCATCTCTGTGCTCTTTTTTGTTTGCTATCAGGAACATATCCATATTACTGGTGTAGGTCTCCTACAGAGAGACCTCCTCAGAGGCAACCAGTCCCCATGTTCTCTGGTCTGTCTGGAGTCGGATTTGCTCCTAGGAAAGGCTTGTCATTAATGTTACCATGACATCTGCTTTAGTGGAAACCAGGACTGTCACTCCTGATACACCCAACCTTGGAAATAACAGGTCACCATCTAGATGCTCACTGAGCTAGATTTAGTCAAGGGTGTCAAAACCAATATTGAGCTCTGAGATGTAATTGCATATACTGATCCCATCTGGCCATGTGTCAGCTTTGATTTCCTGGGGCACAAGGTACGTCCATGGGCTAAAAGAGAGCTGTGGGGCATCCCAGAGCTTTGGGACAGGCAGACAAACTGTAGCCACAAGCTGTGCTTCTGTGCGCACCTGCAAGTCCCTTGAATTTGTGAAAAATTAGCCTCAGGAGAGGGGAGGCAAGGTTGCACCCACAGCTCTAGGTTCATATGCTGCGTAGAGCAGACCACTGATGCAAATAGGTCAGAGGTGGCCCTAACTGCTCATTTCTCCCTGGTTTTGTATTCTTGGGATTCCTACCTTTAGTCTGTTGCTGCCCTACAACGCGAGCGTTCATTTTTTATATGAAGGCTGTTCTTAACTTTCATCCACAGGAGGTGAATTTCATGGAGCACACTGGCTCTGCACTGCAGGCATGCTCTGATAAATGCTCTCAGTACTGACTGGTATCTTCATCTCCTCTTACAGGTACAACCCAGAGTGTGCCCTCTCCCAGGTACAGCCGCTGGAGCCCTGGGGCAATACTGTTTATGGCTATGCCACGTAAGTGTGCTTTGCTGTGCCCACACTATGACACAGGAAAAAATACTGGCTATTTCCATAGTTTCATTCTTGCAGACTTTCAGAGGCTTCAGAATGCCTTTCTCATGTTTCCTTCATTTTTCCTCCATCTCTCACCCTTTTATCTCTAGTATTTCCCATTCAGACACTTCTTTTCTTCCTCCTAATATTGCCAGTGGCAGCTGTTCATCAGTTATAGGGTACTTGTGAAGATGACATTAGCTCCTGTCCTATCATCTCCTTTCCCAGGCCTGAACCTGATTCCCAACGTATGTGTGCCACAAGCATGACATCTGGAACCTCCTGAGATGAAGATGAGCTTACTGCTCCAACTTTAGTTCTATAGGCTGTTCAGCTGCTGTCGCCCACTGAGGCTGGCAAAAGAGGCAGTGCTCTCCTCCTCTGACCCCTTTCTCTACTTTTTTCCCATCCTATTCCCTTCGCACCTTCTGAGCTAATATCAAGCACTTTGCACCATTGCATGAGAGGCTAATTCACGCTCTGCTGGCACAGCCTGAATAGAGTCAGCAAGCCCTTACTCACCCCCAGGACTTCCTCCCATCTCAGAAAGGTAAAGACAAGTCATTCCCCTTGCAGGAGCGAAGATGCAGAAGCCTATGAGTTGCAGGATGGGCAGTTCAGCTCTGGGATCTTCATGAAATATTTGAAGAAACATATTTTGCAGGAGAAGAAAGTTACACACATGCTGGAAGATGTATTAGAAGGTAAAGGAGTGGTTTGTACCCGAGCTGGAAATGTATTTCCCTAGCAGGGATGAGAAAAAATATTGGCAGAATCCAAATCCTAGCAAGGGAGAGAGGGAAGATCAGCACCCCATTCTTCCTCCCCAGAAATGAAGATGCAGGCTGTACTCCATGCAAGGTTTCAGTGACCTGGCAGCATGGACCAGTATGTTGATGTAGGCTCTGAAAGGCAGGATGGTAAATAAGGAACCTGGAGTGACACTTGTGCCTCTAAAATGTCTCCTCCAGACCTTGGCCGGGATCCCGTGGTCACTGGGAAGCAGGTGATGGAGATCAAGCACACTCTGAAGGAAGCCCGTTCCCTGACGGACCCCATCTGCCCCACAGGAGCAGCCACAGAGCGCTGGGGATGCGGCCACGGTGAGCTGTGTGGGGAGCAGCCAGGCAAGGCAGGAGGGAGCAGAGGGACCCCGTGCCCCTGACTGGCTCCACGCAGCAGGGAGGTGGCAGCGGGACCCTCACCTCTCACCCTGCTCTGCCTTCCCTTGCAGAGCCTCCAAGCGAAACAGTGACGTTCCCCTGTGGGGTGCAGGCAGAGCTTCGCTTCCACCGGCTGTTCTCCAACGTGCTGTCTGTCTGCGCCAGGCTGCAGCACCTCCCGGCCCTCCTCACTGATGCGCAGCTCATGCTCCGCCAGCCCACTGTGAGTCCTTTGTGGGGGGATGCTGGGCCCTTCCCCTCAGTTCTCCCTGCAGCAGCAAAGGGAGGGGGATTATAGTGAGCCTGAGGGCTGAACCTGCAAAAGGATCCCCTCCACTCTTAATGCTGCCTTTCTGCAAGTGCTCTGTGCCTTATAAATGCTCCCTCCATGTCTCAGTGGCCTGCCTGGCTTGTAACGCATTATGAAATGGATTTAGCACCAGTTTCAGAGCCTTTAACCAGTTATTTCTCAGGCTTCTTTCTGGCCTGCCTGATTGAATTATTGCATTTAATCTGATTGAGATGAAAAGCCTGTCTGTTTTCTGTGTTTGGAAGCAGACCTGATTTTTGAATGATGCTGTTTTAACCCACTGTTACGAAATAACTCCATGAAACAATACATCCTCTGCACTTGTTCTGTGTTGAGCCATATCAGCTTCCGTGAATCTTTCCTGTAAGAGCTCTGGTGGCCTCTTAGGTGGATCTCTTAAGATTTAACCCTTTTTGCTGCTCATTTTTGCTAACAGTCTTCCTCGTTTTGTGTAGTCCCTTTGCTGAAGGATAGCATGACTGTCACTGGGTCTTTCTGCCCTTGTTGCTGGTGGAGTGGTGCTGCCCTCAGATCCCTTATTGTCACTGGCGTGGAGCGGTGCGTCCAGCAGAGGTCAGGAGTCCGATCCTACCTGCCACCAAGCCAAAGCATCATTTCTTCATTTCTCCTTGTGAGCTCCTTAACATGCATGAAAATTGTGTGCATGTGTGCGCACATCCACTCCACGGCAGCGCTTGTGGGGAAGGGGGGACCCAGAGGCTTGCTTCTGCATGCAGGGCTGGCACAGGAGAAACTCGGGGCAGACCGAAAAGGGACCCAGGAGAGCAGGTGGGATCGATCCGCCGTCCTTGTCCTTTTCCCCAGCGGTGATGGCCCACACTGACCTCCAGTGGTGTGTGCTGACATGGCAGCACATCCTGGCTCTGGGTTGCAATTGGTCTGCCCCAATTGCAGCAGGGCTACCCTAGGCATCTTTGGGACCAACTCAGAGATGCAAGGGTGTCTGTAGGAGGGCACCTGGCTCCTGTATGTTTTAAGCCCTGTGGAATAAGCCCAGGGAGATATTTGGTTGAGGAAATGGCATTTTTTGCATTTGCCATGTTCTGCCTACAAAAGTGGAGTGGGCTTGCAGTAAGGCTTGTCAGAGGTAATCACAGTGGTGTTTTCTAGCATTGATCCATTTTCTTTAATTTTGTAGTGCTGGCGTTCTCTCCCATCCCTCATCTTGCATTTTCATTTGGCAGACTGTACTCAGAGAGAAAGTCTGTTTTAGGATATAAGTTGAACTAAATTACACGGAGATCTAAGGCATCCCCATTTTTTAATCTGCGCTGTCCAAATGTCTGCTTTCTGTGTTGGATCTCCTTATTTTGAAGTCAAGTCACTTGCTCTGGAGCTGTTTGACCTAATGGCCTCCCCAGTCACATCCCTCCCATTTTTATAGAATCATTGAGTTTGGAAAAGACCTCTAAGATCATTTAGTCCAACTATCAACTCCATCCCCACCGTAGCCACTAAACCCTATCCCTCATGCCGCATATTCACAGCTCTTGAACACCTCCAAGGACAGTGACTCCACCACATCCCTGTGCAGATGCGTGTGGGTAACAAGTTGCTGTCAACAAAGGAGCTTTGAACCACACATGTCAAGACTTTAATTGATTCCTTGAGATGAGGTCAGTCCTTGCCCAGATATCTATCTTGAAGGTCACTGATTTCAAGAGCTATTTTTTTTGTTTTTTGGGTTTTTTTTGTGTCAGCCCTGGAGAGATGAGAGGTCGAGGAGAGCTGGTGTGTTTTCAAGGATCCCCCTCTTGACTCAGATATCCCAGTGAACAGGAAAGCAGGCAAAGGCAGAGGGAGGCCTGCATGAGTGCACTGGGAATTCCTAATTGATCTCAGACATACACAGGTCTGTGGAACCTGATAGGATGCACCCTCAAGTGCTGAAGAAGCCAGCAGATGTCACTATGAGGCTGCTTTCTATCCTGACAGCCAGGTACCTGAACTCGGGCAAGAGAGACATGAGAATGTCCAACAAAGTGCCATGGAGGTGCTGAAGGGCTTGGAGCATCTCTTCTACATGAAGAGACAGAGAGAGCTGAGACTTCAGACTGGAGAAGGGGAGTCTCAGGGGGATCTAATCCATGTCCATAAATGCCTGCAGGTTCCTGTAAAGTGGCACAGCAGTGCAGGGTGCTGAAAGACAGGATTGGATTTTAGAAAGATGCAATCTGATGGCAAGGCTGTTACTTAGCAGATGCAAGGTCTGGACGTGGACAGCAGTAAGCAGTAGTTATGCTGTGCATAATGGGGGAAACAGCTGGGTCATTGTGGTTGTCCACAGCCACTGGTCTAACCAAAGCAGGTCAGAAAACTCTGCTGAGGTTACAAACAAGAGCTCCCAGATTTGTGTGAGCTCTCCTCAGTGTTGCTGAGGCTGAAGCGCTGAGTTTGGTACCGTTTCCTTCCAATGTCTGTGCCAGAGAAATGCAGCACATCTCTTTGGGCTTGATCTTTGGGCTTGACTGGCTTGGATTCAGGGACACTACATGGTTAACCCAATCCAGATTCCTGGTGCTGCCTGGCTTCCCGTGCACCATGTTTTATGTCGTAATGGAGTATTGCTATATTCATGCTAGTCACACCCATAGTGTTGAATTTTTCTTGGGATGAAAGTAGGGCATCACAGTCCAATTGCAAACTAATGGACAGACACTCAGGAGAAGAGCATCTTGTGCAAGAACAGATCTGAGCATCCCTGCCCTGCTAGCTGCAAACTGTGATGTTAATCTCTGAAGATTCGCAGTGGCTGGTAATGCAATCACAAAAAGGAGGCACTTAGATGTCATCTGATCCATTGCACATCAGTGCCTGCAAGGAGAAAAAAGGGGACACAACCCAACCCCAGCTTCAACAGGCACCTTCCTAATGCTACTGGAAGTACAGGCACCACCTTTGACTCAAAGAGTTGGTCATTTTCCTGTTGCTGGCAGGGGCTGGCAGTGCTGACTGCATGCTCATCCTGTCCTCAGCTAAGTGCATACTGCAGTGCAAGGTCAGCAGTATCAGGTGAGATGGAGCTGGCTGGGTGCTGTGGGAGCACTCTGCTCCCTTTTGCAGGCGTCCTGCTGAAGTTCTGCATCAGTGGCATCCAGGATGACTTCCCCTGTGCTTCTGTTTTGTCTGCAGGTTTAGTTTAACCCAGCTACTGGGCTCAGCATAGCAGTGTCCACGTTTGGGATTTGGAGCAGATACCTGATGCAATGAGCCAAGCAAGGAGAGGGCAGGAGAGGGCAGTGTTTGTTTGCAGGAAGTGCTCTGCGTTGCAGTCTATCTCCCATTTCTGTTCAGGCTGGCCAAAGGCTCCCTGTGCAGGACAGCTGCTCCACCCCCCTCTGAGTTGTGTCTGCGCTTTGTTGGCACACCCACCTCCCTTTTTGCCAGGTCCGTTTGCTGCCCTAAATGCTTTCCAGTTTTTCTTTCCAGTAACAAGTTGCCAGGTGGGGAGATGGAATTTGACTTTGCTTTATACAGTGATAAATGCTTTTCTTCAGCCTGCCTCCCTCCAATGGACCTGCTGGATCAGCAGCAGTGAAATAAATGACTTTTACTCCTGTTCTTCCAGCCTTGCAGACAAAGGTGATTCCGATGCCTGCAAATCCCAGCATTTAGGATCCAGCATTTTAGCTTCCACGGCCAGTATTCTTCTGGCCAGGAACAAATTGCTTTGGCCTTCTACAGGCAGCAGTTCAGGGGGTGTTCCTGGATGCAAATGTTACTGATGAGGATCTTAGTGAGAGGGAACTGTTCTGGAGAAATTTGAGTAATTAGGCAGGAAATGACAGTTCTGTAAATGGCAGGGGCTAACTCATTACCCAGCACAACTCAGATCTCCCTCCATCTATGCCTTTGGGAAGCTCCTTACTCCCTCCTCCACAGGCCTCTTACACTACAGATCATTGTGATACTGGCTTTTGCTGCCATCTACACCACTGGAAATCCCATAACAAAGATTTCCTGCCCTCAGAGGGTGTTCAGCTAAGTTTTGCCACTGATTTACTTGAGATAAGTGTGTAAAGTCTATATTCCTGCTGCTTGTGTTCTGTAGTACTTCAGTTAGAGTACACCACATTGCCACTAGACCAAGTGTCAAGAGCACAGGCCAGCCGCAGGCACTGCTGTGTAGAGAAGCAGCATGTTTGATGGGCAGCAGTGTCTCCGTGCCCAGAGAGATGCTGAGATTTCCTCACATTTCCTTTGTTTTCCTGACCTAGGAAGTGGACGATGTTGCCAATCTGGAAGAGAGCCATCCAGACCAAATGGATTCTCTGCTCACCTCTGTTTACAAGCACGAGGAGCTGGACTGCGTCTTCCAACTCTGTGGACTACAGAAGATTCAGGTAGAGTACAAATACAGTTTCCTGCAGCCTCACAGAAGCAGTACTTCCCCCTGCTGCTGGCTGTCCCCCTCTGACCATGTAACTCTTGGCTCCGTGCAGAAGATGCCCAGCATCTGGGGTGTCAGCATCACGCCCACATCAGTGTTAGCAGAGCTTGTTGGTGGGCACAAAAGCTTGCTTTTCTCTTGCCTCACTCTCTATTTCCAGTGCCTGGCCAGAGAGGCTGTTCCTTGCCTGTGGCAGCCTCATAGAGGTCAGAGTAACCCAAATGTTGTGGATGAAGGATGTCTCACTAAGCACTGTGATTGCCTGAGAGATGGACTTGGACTTGAGCAGCAGGAGGGATTATTTCCTGCTGTCAGAGCAGTACTGCTGAGCTTGAGCCAGATGTCCCCTTGGCACTCTTCAAAAAGACCATTTAAAGACCACATGAGAGGCATTATTACTGGTCCCCTGGCTTGGTTCTTCCAGCCAGTCCTTTCTCTGCAAATAGCAGCATGCACCTTGTTTCTCCCTTAGTTTTTTCTCCTCTAGCACCCAGCCAGTGGGTCTTGCCAGATGCTTATCTGCAGGGCTCCACACCTGAACATTGCTCTCGAGCTGCTGTGTGGATCTGCTTACAGCGAGCAGCATTAGCCGGGTAGGATACGTGCTTCAGCATATGACAGCTCTTTCAGCACTTGACCGTTTCTGGAGCCCTTGAACCCTTCCCAAACTTTTAAATGCTGATATGAGAGCTGGACCCTGTTGCCTGCCAGGCAAAATCTCCTTTGTGCTGCATGAACCATCTTCCTGCTTTGTACAGCTGGGCATCTTGGGCACAGCCCCATGCTAACGCTCCATACTCAGGGGGGTGGCTGCCACAAGCCCGTTATTTTCCAAATCTTTCACCATATATAATAAGATGGACTGCAAATGGATCCTTGCAGAGTGCTGCAGTTTGAAACTGCCAGTTTTTTTTTGTACTGTGGCATGTGTGCTTTAAATGGTTCACATCTGTGCCCTTACATGCCTTCCTCTTGTGTGTGCAGTGCTGGGCTTTGGCAAGGATGTCATGGCATTCCCTGTGCCCCAAGGCCTCAGTGCTCTCAGTGACTTATTCAGTGAGGTCTCCAGGGAGGTGGCCTGGTTTCAGGACAAGTCCTGAAATCCAGAAACTGTGGCTCAGGCCTGTAGATGCCATAAATGTACAGAGCAGCTCACTTCCTGAGGCAGCAGCACTGCCCTGGCACACCACAGCATGGGGCTATGAGCCTTCAGAATGGCAGCTGAGCCCACGGAGTGTTCTGATGGAGCAAAAGCCTCTGCTTCAGCTCTTCTGCCCAATTCACTTTGTGTCCTTTGTTCTTTCCTTCAAGACGGATGTGGTCCTGCAGTTGGATTTGCATTACACCCAGCTGAGCACAAAGCAGAGGACTTGTGAAAGCCTGCAGAAAATCCTCCCAAAATTGCTGCTGGGGCAGTTTTTCACCCAAAGGAACTACACCCGGCCCAGCTATGACAGCGCTCCAGCCCTGGCAGACCCCAGTGGGGCCCTGAGGACAGGCACTGGCCGCAGCTTGCCCAGCAGCAGCCCCTCCAAGTCCAGCAGCGAGCCGGAGGAGAATGATGAGCGCAGCATGAGCGAGCTCTGCTCAGCCCTGCTGCAGGCTGGCCCAGGGCAGGAGCACCCCTGACTCCAGGAGCTGTCATGCACAGCCTTCAGATGTTAACGCAGCAGAACTGAGCTGCTTTCCAGGCTTAGCGATCACCCTGTCAAGATGAAATTTCTACAGACATCACCAAGGCGTCGTTGTCACGTCTGGCAGAGGACCTGGCCTCTCGACAAGTCATAGTGTTGGCAGATGGCACCCACCGGTGCTTATAGTCAAGGGCACAGGCTGATACTTTCTGCAAATCAGGGTTTGCTAAGCGAGTGCCTGAAAGCAGGATTTGCGGCATTAACTGTGTTGAGAAACCCACAAACACTACAGTCCTGCAGTGCAGCACAGGCACCGTCTCAAAACCCGCCACTGCTGATTGTTACCACTTCTGCAAGGGACACAAGGAGTGACCAAGGGACCCAGATCAGACTGGGTCAGTGTGTAAGCTTTCCCCTGGGGTTGCACGAGAGTTTGCAAGTCCTGCCTGTGTCAAAGCAGGTTTTAAATTATGTGTTTATGTATTTCTACTGAATGTATTTATACTCGGGGCAAGAAAATTGCTTGCTCGTAAAAGCAAGCATGCCCCTTCTAGTCTGTTACACGGGGGCATAAGATGCAGTTAGATCCTGTGTGGTCTTGAGTTCCTCTGACACAGAATCCCCTATGTGTAGGGGATGGAAAAGACCGGGGTGGAGAAGGAAAAACCTCAAAAAAAGTCACTGTTAGTGCAACTGTTTTTTCCAGAGTGCCTGCCTCAATGTGCATTCACTGCAGGCAACTCCAAGCACTGCCTTCTGAAGAGAACCTGCCGTCCCGGGAGAGCCGTGGGTGAGGAGGGCCAGCCTGAGCAGCCGCAGTCCCCTTCCTGCCTGCCCCTCTGATTGTTGTTGAGTAATGGTTTCAGCAGAGCTCTGCAGGGGAGGGCAGTCCTACAATGTAAAGGAGGCCAGTGACCCCTCTGAGGTGTGGGATCTCCATCCTACGTCTTGGAGGTCAAAGACTCCTTGAGAAGTCAAGGTGATGGGATGGGGAAAGTTCCTGAGCTCTAAAAGAGGGTTGGAGTGAATATTTTGTAAGTTTTGGTTCTCCTGCAGCAGTGTGTCTGTCCACAGTGGGAACTGTCTATTGCAGCATGAAAAAATATGAAGTGCTCCTTCCAGATAATCCATTCTACAAATGCTGGAAGCCAGTCCAAAGAGAACAGAGGAGGCTTTTATTCTTGGTGTGAGTAGAGCCAGGAGAAAGAAAAGAGGCCCCATCTGGCTGAAGTTGAGAAAGTCTCCTAGGAAAAAATGTAAAGCTCAAAAAAAAAAAAAAAAGTACAGGATGTAGTTTGAATTAGATGGACTGATAGGGAAACCAAACCAGAAAATAATAAACTGATTGAAGGGAGAACCAAAGATTAAGTCAACACCAGCAGAAACTTAAGACAGGTCAGTAGGAATTGTTTGCAGGCATTTGGGAGGGATTGTGCACACCCTTCTGTACCAGCGGGGCAAAACACGTCCCTGGCTCTTACAGCAAGTGAGGAGTCATCTCCTGCAATTAGTAATCTAGTTCATAACAAGACTGTATTTTTTCTAAATAAAACACTACTGGTGTTTTTGGTGCATAGTTTCATGTGGCTCTGTTAATAGTTTTTGTTTTTTCCCCTAATTGCCGGAGTGATTTAATATTATTCTAATGTTCCTTATGCTTTGAACTCTAGCTTCTGGGCTTCTACGTCTGAGGATTGTTTCTTTTAAGTGACCCTATCCTGAAGTGTGGATTTAGAAGATGGATCAGATGACGTTAATTAGGCTGAAATGATGTCTGATGAAATGTAGATAAAATAATGCCAGCATTCATTGTCAACTATCCATCTCCTCTGCAAAGGGTGGCCCAGGGGTGGCTGGGGCAGGCTTAGGAGGTCTCCTTCGTGTTCCCAACTGCCAAATAGGACCTGTCCTCTCAGCAACCTGAAGATCCTTCCAGTCTACCTCTTTTTGTCTACACTGGGAGCTGAATTTTGTTGGTTTCTTCTTCAGGTCTGCCAGCACTTTGCTCTTGCCTCAAAGAAGTACTGCATCTGTTTGCCCAGATACTAAGGCTTGATGGTGACTCCTGCTTGGGCCTGGATTCATTGTAGGAGGGGATAAAGGTGTTCGTGCCTTCATTGCCCTACCTCACATAGGAAATCCTGTGGTGGGATAAATGTTAAGTGCAGGTAATGTTCCCTTGAATTGGTGTTTCTGTCACCCAGAACAGAATGGACAACTTATCCAAGATCATTGTGCTTTTCTTGGCTATGCATGTCTGGTCTTCAGCAATGGACCTGGGCTCTCCCAGGAGGGAAGAGGAAGGAAGGAGCACCCATCTCCATGAATGCACCCTCATTTCAGACACTGCTCATGTTATGGCTGTGGCAGAGTAGTGGATGATACCTCCGAGCTTAGAAACCTGGAAATTTGATGTTATCCCACTGCATTTGTTCGCGGAGTCAAAGCCTGCACAGATCCAATGGCTAGGCAGTGCAGCTAGGCGTGTGTTATTTTATGCTACTTCTAAGAAAATCACCCCAATAGATTGATCCTTCCAGAAGGACTCAAAACCCATTGAAGGCTGAGGCTCCTTCATTAGCTGCACAGCTGCAGGCAAGGTGGGACTACAAAAACTCAGCTGCAGTTAACTTTGGATGTCAGGGGGAAATTCTTTACAGAGAGAGTGGTGAGGTGCTGGAACAGCTGCCCAGAGAGGCTGTGGATGCCCCATCCATCCCTGGAGGTGTTCAAGGCCAGGTTGGATGGGGCCCTGGGCAGCCTGGGCTGGTGTTAAATGTGGACATTGGTCACCCTGCGTGTGGCAGGGGGTTGGAGATTCGTGATCCTTGAGGTCCCTTCCAACCCTGGCCGTTCTGTGATTCTGTGATAACTTCCCTGTCTTTGACAAGCACCAAGTTAACTGAAGCTTTAAACTTTAATCTGATGAAAATAGTAATATCTAAATGTTTGGTATTTTGGGTTCAATCTTCACTTTTTTATTTCCTCTCTGCTAATGGAAAACCGTTAAGAGGAAGGTTTGTGCTCAGCTTATTCTGCAGTGTCTGGGAGTAATGCTCTGCTCTTTGTGTGGCAAAGCGAGGAAATGCACCCAAACTGGCAGTGCAAGTTAAGGGAAATGCCACTGTGTCTGTTTTATTTAGTGGCTGGAAAATCATGGGCCCGGTGTGCAGCTGAGAACTGTGCTATATGTAGGCTGGCATATATATCTAAACCTGGCACACTTCCATTGGCAGTAGATTCTTCAAGATTTGGTCTCAGTTGTTAACTAACTTTCAACTGTCGAGCTGACAAGCTGAAACTCTCCATGCCTCCTGCCAATCTCGTGCTACTTTCTGGCCTTTCCTACCATAGCCGTGTTTGAAAGGCCATTCTGACAGACCACCTCTGCTGCCCCGTGTCACACAGCAGCAGTATGTAATGGTTACTGGTGCAAAGGTTCAGCCTCTACTGCTGCAGCATCAACATGCGCCTCTGACATTGTGGGCTGACATCACAAAACAGGAGACATTACTTTTGGAGCAACCCTCATAAGATACATAAAATAAAAAGAAAACAGGGACATTGCTTCAGCTCAACTGGTTTTAAACTTTTGTACAGATTCACGCCTCCCCAAGAAGCAGATTATTCAGTAACGAAGCCAGGAGAATGGATTTAAAGCAAAGGAGTGAGTGAGGTCATCCTTTATGGAGGCAATAAACATAAGATTGCTCAAATTAAAAGGGTCAAGCTGCATTCCATCAAGTTCCCCTTCTGCAGACTGCCTGGGTAGCTCTTTGGAAAGCAAAGGCAGGAGCAGGTGTGGTGGTGTGGTGAAGCCTGCAGGCTCAGACTTTGTTAAGCTGAGAAAATGACTGACAGCGCAGCCTCTTCGTACGGTTGCAGAGTTCTCTCTTCTATCAGAGATGATTTCAGTGACTGCTTTGCTGTTGTTACTAATCACTTGAAATTGGGCCCATGACATCATGTAGCATTGAAGAGAGCATATCGCCAAACAAATGAGACTCCTTGAAGTGCTTGAAGTTGCTTCTTATCTTCACAGTTTGGATAACCTTTTGCATAATAATCAACAGCTTCAAATGTCTTGGTCATATCACCTCCTCGAAGAGATGGAAGGCACTCTTTGAAATTGCAGACCAGACTGCGTATACACAAGAAGCGCTGATGCGGTGTCACGCAGCAACGATGAGCAAATGTCTCTTTGATAAAGCTGTCTTCGCCAAGTTGGATTTTCTTGCCACAGTGTCAGGAATGGTTGATGAGACAGACGTGTTATTAAGTGGTAGAAATAAACAGATGGAAGAAGCAAGTGAGAGATTTCAGCGATGACTTTCCAGAATGTTTCAGCAAAGAATGACCTAATTTCTATTCTTTAATGGAGATAAAAAACACGAGATACTTAAGAAAGTAGTTGTAGACCTCATATATGAGTATACCTGGCACCCACTGCGGTGCCTTTGCTGGAAGGCTCAGCCGGGGAGCAAAGGGGGTCCTGCCAGGTACAGCTGCAAGTCTGATCAATCCCAACCTGACCACAACCATGAGACTGAGTATTAATAGGCATGGAGAAGGTGTTCTGGTCCAGGCTTGCTGCTCCTCTGGGTGCTGTGCCATGCTAGCAGGATGTTGACACGTGCTGGCTGCCTTGTTTCCCACTGGGTGTCACCACCTAATTTTGAGCCTCCTGCCTCTTTTCTTGCTTGTTTATGCCTGTCCACAGCATCTCTTCCCCATAGTATTCCATTTTGTCTCTTCCCACCACGGAGGACATGGAAGTTAGGCCAGTGCCCATCAGCACCTGCCCTCCAATGGGAGGATGGATGACCACAGGCAGGCTGAAGCTATTTCCTCCCTTTGGACTGCAGATGTTGGAGCATTGTCTCCTGCAGAGACGTGGCACTGTCACAGCACTAAGTAGCAGCGTGGTGAGCATGGAGGAGCCTGCCTTTGGATGTGGGTCCCTACGGCTGGGCTTGAGAGAAATCCTTTTTTCTGTGAGGATTTCTGCAGAGAAGAGCAGCTGTGCTCTGACCTGGACAGCACACTGCTGGAAAAGCAGAGGGCAGTTTCTGCCATGCCGCTGTCTCCTGCCTGCCTGTTGCATCCTTTCTGTTGCTTAATATCAATTATAAAATATTAAATCAGACAAATACCTTTGGCCTTTCTGGATGATAAGAAAATACATTGTTCTCCCTCCTATAATGCTGTTGTTTTCACTGGAAATGCTAATGGAATTGTGTAAAGGTTATTTCTGCCTCCTCTCCGGTTCGGAGACGTGGCAAAATGCTCATGATGCCCTTTGTTTATGCCTTTTTAATAGCAGCTTTTATCTCTGGGAATCTGAGGTGTCTGTGTCTTTCCAGGTGCTCACCTGCAGGGTTCTTGGGTTCCTTTTGGGGGAAACTTCCTGGAGAAGATAAATGGATCTGCGCTGTCATAGGCATCTCTGCTGGAGCAGAGACCTGGGGGTCTGATAACAGAAAAGAGCTTAGCACCAAGATAAATGACCATAATTTCTAGCCCCAGAAATATCAGGAAATGATGGGTTTTCCCCAACCCATACTTCTGCACAGGCTGATAGATGCCTTTCTGTGCACTGGTACTCCTGTGACAGCTCGAGTCACAAACCTTGCAGTGCTTTGAGCAGGAGGTTGGCATGGGGACTTTCAGAGGGTCCTCCATCCTTAATCCTTTGAGGAATCCACAGGAAATTGCCACAGAAATCAGTTTGGCTGCAGTCTTCTGCTATTGTATGCTCTTGTGGAAGCTCATTTTTGATGAGGAAAAGATAAAACCAAAAATGTGGCCAGTGCAGGGATACCCTTCTCTGCCCATACCAGCAAAGGCTTCATGTCATTCTGTGTCTTTTGCACCACTGGAGGCAGGGGGTGGACATTGTGCTGATACCCTAAGGGCTGCCAGAGCAGTTGGATGAGGATTCATATCTTTTCCTGAAGAATTATCTTATAGCTCCCATGGTACAGCTGGTAGGGAGGGAGAATGGTACTTTGGGAGCAGTGGGTCTAAGGCTTTGAGAGGAATATGAGGTGGTTCCTGGAGACAGAAGGGCACATCAGAACAGCTGGCACTGCATCTTTCAGAGTTAGAGGATGGAGAGAATTGGACACTGCATGTTGGATGCTATGGCATTCAGCAAAGGGCCTGGGCAGAGAAATGGGTACATCCCTGGGGCTCAGCAGAGATACGAGTTGTAAATCCTGCTGCTAAAAGCTGTAATTATCTCTTTCAGTTATTTTGCTGATGTCCTTGGAGGAATGTGCCTGAGAGGTCAGAGGGAACCAAGAGCAGCTGCTCTGGGAGGACAGACCTCTGACTGTGGATGGAGATTTCTGCTGCATGTTGGCTACACAAATCCCCACTTTGGTGGCTTTGCTCTTCGCACCTCATTTCAGTGAGGTCGTTCACATCCTCCCATGCGGAGAATATCACAGTGTGGGATGCACACAGAGAAGTCTGGTCACTGCATGACATGGCAATCGTGGCCATGGCTGCAGAGGTGGATGAACAGGGCTCACAGGCTGTGCTCTGGTTTGAGTGATCACTTTGATGACATTTGAAGACTTCAGGGAACAGTTCTTTTTCCAACACCTGTGGCATCTGCATAATGTGTTTCTGGTAAGGTCCCAGCTGAAGGTGGCACAGGACAAGCAGACACAGCTCAAGAGAGGAGTTTGTACTTCCCCCAGCAGTGTCAGCCTGTCTACTGAAATTCATGCTAAATTGATAACATCATTCACCACACTGTTCCCCAAAGTCTCCCTGCTGCTGAGTTACTCTCATCTTTTCACTTTCTGTATGTCTTTCATAAGGGTCTCGTTGGCACCTGCATTCATTAGAGAAAACCTGAAATTTAATTTCTAACACAACTTCTTTGCAATAATCTTTAGACTCTGTGATTCTTGTTCGTCCCTTCCAGCTCAGGATATTTTATGATTCTATGATTTCGTTGTGCACTACTGACATAGCAGAACCTCTGGATTCCCTTGCAAGTCTGCTGTGACCCGCAGAGATCTCAGGGGTTCCCAACTGCAGTCGCCCATCACACCAGCACTGCTGGTGGGATTGACTCTGGCCTCACCTTAAGCCATGGAGACACTGTGGACCCAACCTGGTGAGCAAAATCCTGAATAGAAGCAAGGCAGTTGACAGCTGCAACCATAAACTCAGTTCTGTGGTCAAGGAGGCAACTCTACCCTAAGTTCAAACTGCAGTGAATTTCGGATGCCCATGTGCCATCAACTCCTTGAACACCTTGAATGAAGTGTCTCTTGCTTGTGAAATGGTGGTGTGAAAGCTAGTAGGCAAGCAGGAAAGCAGCTTAATGGGCTGTGAGAGGTAGTTGCCAGGCTGAGATGTATCTAGCAGTCAGAGGAATTGTTGCCTGGTATTGTGTGGTGACACAGGCATTCCAACAGCCCTCTCTTAAGTCCCAGCCACGGGAGGAAGATAAGAAGGCTTCCAACCTGATGGAGGCAAAAATACACAGGGGAGAGAGATAGGAACCTTGTCTTTGCTTGGGGCAGAAGGAGAAGACCCCCCCTTGCCCCTGAGGCCCCCCTCAGCCAGTAGATAAGAACTCTGGGGATGGAAAATGAAGGCAAGGATAGTGGTTTGGAATCAGAAAGGGGCAACCATGATGAGAAGCGAGAACCAGAGTCAAAACCAGCATCACTAAAAAAAGGCGAAGGATCTTATTAACTGGAGGCTCTGTGCTGAAAGGCACCAAGGTGCCCATCTGCCACCCAGATAAGCTCTCTGGAGAGATCTGCTGCCTACTGGGTGGCCGCATTTGGGACATCAGGAAGAGGACATTGGGTAGGATAAAGCCAAACTTGGCGAGGGGTTCTTCGGGCCAGTGCTCTTCCTCATCTTTATCAAGGACAGATGGTGGATTGAGTGCTCCCTCAGCAGTTTGCTGATGACACCGAGCTGGGTGGTGCAGCTGACACAACGAAAAGAAGGGAGGCCATCCAGAGTGAACAGGCTCAAAAAGTGGACATATGAGAATCTAATGAGGTTCAACAAGGCCAAAGGAGGGTGATGCACTTAGGTCAGGCCAATCCTGGGTATGAGCACAGACAGGAGAAGAATTCCTGGAAGCAGCAGTGCGGAGAAGGACTTGGTGGCTCTGGTGGATGAAAGCCACACACGAGGCAGCAGCGTCCATTCGGGGCTGGAAAGCCAACTGCATCCTGGGATTCTGGGCAGCCTGACCTAGTAGCTGATAGCCCTGCCCTTGACAGCAGGATTAGAGCCAGGTGGTATTTAATTTCCCCTCCAACCTAAGCCATTCTATGATTCCATAAGACCTATAGGGTTCATTCTTGGCACTGGTTTGGACATTGTTATTGTTTGGAGCATTGTTAGCAACTGATGCTCAGAAAGAACTCCATGCAGCTTGGGAGGAGTTGTCACAGGGAAAGGGATTTGGCAATGGAAAGGGCATTCACCAGAATCCCCTCCAGCTTAGCATGTCAACTGCAGCACAGTGATAGGGCAAGATGCTTCAGAAGACCTGAGAAACCTGCCACCTCCCACACAAATTCCTTTATTACTCACTTCATCCCTACCCCAGAGCCGTAGATTATAATTTTACTCTCCCTACTCCATCATAACGTTACTCTTTGTCTTTATCAAGGTTCTAATGAGTCCTTTTCAGCCCTCTCATAGGGAGAGGGTTACTGCTTTTCTTTAATCCAGCACTGAAATGAGGCTGCTTATTCATTCCTGGCTCCTCTCCACAATTCTCTCTTGCAGGAAACACTTCTGGTAGGCTGCAGTAAGAGTACGCAGCACATCTCTCTGCTGCACTGCTATGAGTCAATGTGAGTTCAACCTTTGGAAAATCGTGTCTTGAAGGCCAGAGGCATTTGTCTGTCCTCTCCTTAAATGTCTTTCAGCAACACGTCACAGCACTGCAGCCCATCGCTGAGCACCCCGATGGCCTGCTGAGTGCCTAACAGGATAAAAAAGGACATAAAATGCTCTGATGTCCGCAGTAATAGGGTCAAAGGAGGTCTGCTGGAGACAACTTCATCTTCAGATGACTTCTGGCTGTGCTAGTGCTGTGCTGTCTTATCATCACGGCCCCTAATGTTTTTAAAGTGTAAATATTAATAATAATTCTTCATGGCAAATTCTACAGTTGTTTGTTTGTTTGTTTGTTTTTCTGGAAAGGCTGTTTGTCACGGACTCTTGCAGTTTCCTATCTTTCTTCATCTGCATGGTTTGAAAACAAAACCGGCAGACACTCAGCCTCCTGCTTCTGTAAGAGATTTCCACTTTAGCATTTTAAACGTGATGCCAGAAGTGGCAGGTTCACCTCAGCATTATGGGAGAAGGGGCAGGTAATTCAGGAAGAGCACAGGGATGTTGCTGGAGTGTGCAGAGGGAAAACTAGACAGGCAAAAGCTCAGCAAAGACTTAATGTGGCCACCATTGTTAACAATTAATCTTTTTACGAATATATTAACAGCAAGAGAAGGGCCAAGGAGAAATCTCCATCCTCTGTTGGACACGGTGAGAAATAACTATTGCTGAAGATGAGAAAAAGGCAGAGGTTCTCAATGCCCTCGTCTGTCTTTAGCAGACAGCAATAGGAAGCAGAACAACCCCACACCATTCAGGAGGAAACAGCAGCCTGCTGCTCCACCTGGGCTTGCACAAGTCCATGGGGCCGGATGGGACCCACCTGAGGATGCTGAGGGAGCTGCTGGAAGTGCTCACCAAGCCACTCTTCATCATACGTCAGCAGTCCTGGTTGGTGGGGGAGGACCCAGGAGACAGGAGACTGTTGTAAATGAGACCCCAGGGGACTCCAGGCCTGTCAGCCTGACCTCAGTACGGGAAGATCGTGGAGCAGATCATCCTGAACCTGATCACTCACCATGTGAGGGACTGAATGCAAGTGTGGTAATCCAAGTTGGGAGGAAGTGCTGATGGGCGTGAGGGCAGGAAGGCCCTACAGAGGGATCTGGACAAACTGCATCGAGGGGCTGAGGCCAGTGGGATGAAGTTTAACAAGACCACGTACCGGATCCTGCACTTTGGCCACAAGCCTGTGCATCGCTACAGGCTTGGGGCAGAGTGGCTGGCAAGCTGTGCAGAGGAAAAGGATCTGGGGGGTCCTTATGTAGAAAACCCAGTCTGTGAGTGACACTGAATCACCCTATTGCTGCCCAACATATGGTTCTTACTCACAGGCCACCCCCAAGCCCAAAATACACCCCTTACCCAACATGCATGCCAGCAACACACACATCTACATCCATTTCTTTCTGTGACCGTTTGAAGCAGCTTCTTGAAGTTTTTTGGGGTTGCTTTTTGAGATATAACCACAATGAAATGGCTGTGAGGGTTCTACAGCCTATTTTGGACAGTAAGCCTTCCAGTAGTTTTTCAAGCTTTGGTCAAAATCTCCAGCAAAGCTCAGGAGAGCTTTCAGGAGTGACGTGGGCCATGGCTTGATCCTGCTGGTCTTTCTGCCCCAACAGGTGGTTCCCACCTGCATGCCAACCACTCCACTCATTTTTGCCCACACAATGTGAAAGCCAGTGAAGGAAGAACTGAAGTTTAATTTCTTCCCCAGAGAGGCTTATGATGTCTGGATCAGATCTCTCCAGTTCACGGAGTGGTTGCATAGGGCAACTCTGTGCAAAGGGATAAGAGCATACCACAGCCCTCATGTCTCCCTGGGAAACATGGGGAAATCACGATGGCCCTTGGCCAACCCAGCCAGGGCTGCAAGCATAGGAAACATTGCTTCAGAAGCACAGACACGTTGAGAAGCTCCTCTTGCCCCAGCCGCCTGCTTCCAACCATGCTGAAACCTGGAAACTGGATGCGAGTCTACCTGGAGCCAAGACAAGGAGAAAGGGGTCATTCTGAACCTGCCTCAGCAATCAGGTCACTGCTGTCAGCATGGAGAATTGTGCAAGGGACCTTGCTTGTCCAGGCTTTGGAGCGTGTCTGTACTGCACTGGAGTCTGCAGCTCTTGTGATGAAGAAAACTGGTTCTCTGGAAGTTATTTCTCCAGTTCCCATTGCATGGTAAAATTTAATTTTTACAAATCCAAAAAAGGATTTGCTGTTGCACAAGTGAAAGCTGGTTGGGGAATGCTGCAGTGGTGCCATTCCAGCAGCCTTCCTGCTCTATCACATCTCCAACCCCAGCAAACAGGAATCAGAAGAACAGCAGGGCACAGAATACTTACTCTCCAATCCTAAAATTGAAGGATTTTACCAAATTAGGGTTCTCACTGCAATTCCCAAATTCCCTGGGATACAGAGCTTTCTTCTGTTCAATCTGATGCAAGGATGGATATGGGCATCCAGAAGGATGAAAGGATAGAAACTTGCAAGAGCAAAATTTTCCATGTCTGTTGTTGTTGATCAGTGGTCATATGGGGGGGATCTTTGTTGAAGAGTCATGTTGGCTCGTTGACTTTTGTGCCAATAAGCCAAAGGGGGGGGAGGGGGGGGATTCTGTTTGGAGCAATGCAGAGGGCATGCCCTTGGAGGCAGGGAGACCAAAGAGCCAGAGTGAAAGGTGTAAGTGGTTTTAAATGTATACAGATGATATCTGTGTAATTAACTACTCAGATTTAAGTTACACCCTTTTTGTGTGTGCGTGTAGATAATGCCGATGGCTACGCTGTTATCTCAGAAGAATGTTTGTGTCTGGGGATTCATTCTCATCCTGCCAATAATAAACCTTCCCTGGAGTTTCTGAAGCATTAATTACAGTTTTGTAACACGCGAGTTTTGCAACGAGCTCAAGGTAATTCTCTGTTACACCAGGCTCTGACAGAAACAAATTAATCGCTGATTTGAGAACTGACAGTTGCCTAGGCATGAGCACTCAGGACTTTATAACGTTTGTTATGTATAAATAAAATCGGTCTCACCGTGTTTGCCAGCTCGCCTGCCTGTATACGCGCACCCTCTGACACAGCCAGCACCTGGGAAGAACCCATTTCCCCCAGCTAAAAAGCAAGTTTGAACAGCCCCACACAGGATGAAAAGTTGAAAGCGAGGATCTCAGGCATGGCTGCACAACGCTTGCAAGTATTTAATAAAGCCAGGATGGAAGAATGCTTGATTCGTGAGTCCACATCCTCTGAGCACTGTAAAAACCCCATCCCGATTCCTCCTCCTCTTCCTGCCCCCTCCAACCAGCTCCCATTGCAGTGGGAAGGGTCGTTCCCTTGGGCAGGAGATTGCCCACGTCCAGAAGGTTGCACCCAGGGACGCTGCTCCTTGCAGCATCTGTTGAGCCTTTTTGCATTTCTACTGACTTGTGGAGGGGAATTACCTCCCAGCCAGGCACTCGAAGGCTGCCGTTTCTCCTTGGCCATTTGATACAGAGCTTAATTCCCATCGGCACTGTATTTCTTAATTAGCACAACCATTCAAATTACAGTGGCTTTCCTGCAAGCCACAACGTGTTTGGGACTGTGGCAGGTCTTTATAACCGCATGAGAAGTGTCTGTCGCAGCAGTTACAGCCTGCAGCTCACAAGTAGCTTTTCACAGAGGCGTGCTACAAACACAGGTACCACTTGTGATTTTGAAAGTGTTTTCTCCATACAGCTTCCCTTGTCCTTTCCTTCCTCTTGGGCTATCATCTCCTGCTCTCCAGTTCACGCTCAGTGCCTCTAATCCTGGTGCTGGTACAGCTGACAGGAGCCTGGCTCTGTCTTCCCTGCACCTCCCTGCTGGTGTCTATGGACATGGATGAGATCCTCTCGAGCCTCCATTCCAGGTTGAAGGCACAGCCCCTCCTCACAGCAGTCAGGCTCCAGGTCCTGCATCATCTCCATTGGCCTTTGCACTGGGGAGCAGTCCAGGCATGGCCTCACCAGTGCTTCTGAAAACATCAGCAATCAGAGAAAGTACCAAGCCCAAGCCATTACAATCAACTTCTTTTTATTTTTATCTTCAGGAATTAATAATGTGTACCCAAGTGTTTTATGGTTAAGAAAGTCACTAAGCAATTAACATCAGTAGTCAAGGAATCCTACAGAAGCTCCAAAGAACCAGGAGAATAAATCTAACACCTTACTTACATCTGTGAAAAGAAAGCACGACGATGGGAAGTCCAGATCCTCTAATCTAACAGAATCATAAATAAAATGATGTAAGTGGTGCTGTGGGATATGATATTGAAAGAGAATTAAGACGAACTAATTAGCAGACAGCCTTCTGAGCATACAGTTTTTTTGCATGAAAAAAAGAAATGCAAGGCACCTCAAAAAGTGGAGATAGGGATGCCCACAGCTGGGTCATGGCGTAGTGCTGCCAGATGTGTTGTCAGAACCACCGAGTCCTTCTCCGCAGCGCTGCTCTCGTGAGGCCTTCTCCCATCTGTGCTCACAGCTGGGATTGCCCCGACCCAAGTGCGGCACCCCGGCTTGGCCTTGTTGAACCTCCCTGGGTTCACGTGGTCCCGCTCTGTGAGCCCGCCCAGCTCCCTCTGGATGGCATCCCTTCCTCCTGTCGTATCCAGCGCAGCGCTCGGCTCAGTGCCATCCGCAAACTGATGAGGGTGCACTCGGTGCCATCATCTGTGTCACTGATGAAGATGCGAACAGCAACAATTCTGAGACAGACCCCTGGGGGACACCGCTCATCACCAACCTCTGCCTGGACATAAAGACACTGAGCACAGCTCCCTGGCTGTGGCCATCCCCCTGTTCATATCATGGAATCACAGGATGGCCTGGGTTGAAAAGGAGCACAGTGCTCAACCCGTTCCAACCCCCTGCTGTGTGCAGGTCGCCAACCAGCAGCCCAGGCTGCCCAGAGCCACATCCAGCCTGGCCTTGAATGCCTGCAGGGATGGGGCATCCACAGCCTCCTTTAGGCAGCCTGTTCCAGTGCCTCATCACCCTCTGGGTGAAAGAATCTTATCCACTAAGTAATTGTAAGAGTCCACCTTCCGACTTCACCTTTCTCTAATGTACAGATACATTATATACAGTGTATAGACAGCGAGCCACTGCCCCGCAGGTCCCATCCGCTCCGGGATCCGCCGCGCTTCGGTGCCTGAATACCGCAGCGATGGAGCAGCGCCGGCAGCACGGCAGCACGGCAGCACGGCAGCACGGCAGCACGGCAGC